GTATTTAGACCTGTATAAATACCTTTTACCTCCTAGCTCTTTCCTCTATTTCCTTTTACTTTCCTCTTGTCCCACTATCATGTTCAGCCTTCATTAGGGTTTCAGTAATTCCTCTCGGTTACATTGCCCGTGATCAAGCCTTACCAGCCCTCCTATACCCTCCTCACCACTGATTTGGATTACTTGTTGTTCCCATGTCCCTGGGTTTGTTACCACCACCACCTTTCCCCCTCATCTCCCCCTCTCCCATGTCCCCCTGGAATAGTCGGTTCCATTGTTTTCTTCTCCAGATTGTTCATCCAGCCTATCTTATTTAGACAGACCTGCGGAGATAATAACATGCACAAAACCAAGACAGAGCAAAACCAAGCAACAAAATAAAACAAAACAACAACAAGCCAATGACACAAAACAAAACAAATCACAACAATAAGAAAAGCTTGTAGTTAGTTCAAGGACTGTTGTTTGGCCTTTAGGAGTGTTTTCCAGTGGAGTCTGTTGGGATGCCAAGCCCTGGTCCCAAAGTCTATTTTTGGTATTCTCTGGGGACTTCGTTGCTCCATTCCCTTGCTGTTCTGTTCCATGCCCTTAATGTTTTGCCTCGGTGTGGTGGGATCAGATCGGGCACAATTCCCACACTGTGTCTCCAGTGTTGTCCCCTGTAGGGCAAAAATAATACATTTTTGAAAACAGATACATAGTAATTACCACCAGTTTACTATGCTTTTAGGCCTTTAGATAGTTTCCATTATTTTTCAAATAATGCTGTGGTGAATAATCTTGCTCATATATAGTTTTGGATTCTTGGAGGTGTGTCTTTGTGGTATGCATCTAGAAGTGAGATTGCTAGGTGGATGGGGATTCCAAAAGTTTGTGGAATATTCTTTTAATTCCATTTTTCATGAACTTTTGGAAACCCTTTTGTTTAGATTTTGTATATTTTGCCAAGGTGTCCACACCAGGATAATTTTTGCATTCCCAACAGCATGGATTGCCATGACTCAGTGTACATGGTGGCAGCGGACAGCTGCAACCCCCCAACACAAGCCTACACATGCTCAATGAATAGTGTCTTTTAGAAGAAGCACCCCAAAGCTGGTTCCTATGAGGCAGAGGTCAAAAGTGTTCCAAATGTCCAACTGTTCCAAACTGCTATACTGTTCCATCATCTCTCACCAATCAACTACTCCCCCTTCTTCAGTACTCTCCTGCCAGCCAGTCTTGGTGTTCAGTAATTTGCTACAATGTTTCACACAGTTCACAAATGATACAGAGTTAAGTGGTTTATTAAGGAAGTAACAGGGCACAACTCAGGATCGGGATCAACTCAGAAGTAACAGGAACAATTCAGGATGCAGTTCCTCAGTCAGGATAGTTTCTTTTTCCCCTTAGTGGCTGGACTGTGCTGGGGACCTCAGCAAGTGTCATAAGTCAGCTCTGTTGGTACACAAGCCCGACTGCAACCATCTTGGTTGCAGCAACCCTTGCTGTTACTGCTGCAGAATCCTCTCTCGCCATCTTCACGGTGATGGCTCTTTTAGTGTCTCCCTTTAAGCCTGGTAGGATGGCACAACTGACCAATCCCCTCATTAGGGTTTTATGCTCCTTATTTGCATGGTCTCACCCCAACAAGAATTCCATGCACCATATTTCCATTATTATCAAGCTACCCAATCCCCTTGGTTGGTCTTAAACACCTTATTTGCATAGTCCCACCCAAGCCATGGCAATTTCTTTATTTTATTTTATTTTATGATGCTGCATTGTTTAGTGGTAGTGTTTCAGTTTCCTCTTTCTTTTTTTTTTTTTTTAACATTTTATTAGGGG